ATGTCCTCTAAAACAGAACACAATGTTCCTTGACTCATCTGTTCTGGAGGGTAAGGCAGACCAACTGCAATACCCTATGTGACAGAAGAGCTGACAAGTGACTATTAACTTAAATTGATAATTTTGCTTATTACAGCCATAGGGGTATTACAGGCTTTACAAGATCATGTGGTGCACAGTGAGCTATTTTTTTTCATCAGTATTTCTACAATTAGAGTTTCATATCCTTGCAAGTATAGTTTGCTGTGCTTTTGAGAGTGTACTTCATCTTAAGAAAAGTTAAATTATGATGCTGTCTGTTTTATTGGGTGTTAAAGATGTCATGACAGTTAGTACAGGTGAATATCTATGCCAAAATCTAGTGTTAGTCAGACCTGTTTTGTGACTTCTGTCTTCCTGTCGGAATAATGCAGATGCTACTGCTCAGAAGAGCTGGGTGAAAAAGCACAAAAGATTTCTGTGAATAGCTGGCTTTTTAAATCACTTGCCTATGACTTTTTGTCTCATTGGGGGTGGCTGGGGGGCTATAGCCACCCCAAAATTTGCCTCAGCCCCCCCCAGCCACCCCTCCCAGCGACACGCCTGTCTAAGCCCCATGTCTGCCCCCCAGGCAACCACCACCCACCCCACACAGCTGAGCCCACCCTGCTCCTGCCCACAGAGGCATGGTTCCTTAAGTGGGTATTGTTTAAAAAAAAAAAAAAAAAAAAGTATATTTGTCCAGAAGTTGTATAGTGTAGCACCCCCAATTTTCTGTCTAGCCCACCTCAGCCCACACACTGGGAAGAGGCTGACGCTGCCCCTGCTCATCTTCCTCTTTTTGGGAAGCAAACACAATTTTTGAACAAGTGAACTCATCTTAGCAAGGATGTTAATGGAAAAATACATTTTAAAGTTGTATCTGTGCCTACAGAAGCCGGATTTTGCACTTCTGCAAATGCAGTTATTACTCCCAGCAAGTACTCTTATGCTTATCAGTTTAGAGAGGTAGTTAGCTGTGTTAGACTGAAGTCCAGGCAGAAGACAAAAGGCAGAAGCTTTTTTTAGGCAACAGCCTACTTCATCAGATTTCATGGCATGTCATAAAGTAGGCTGTCACCTACAATAGCTTATGCCTTTCTGAATGAGTTAGTCTCCAAGGTGTCACCGTGCCCTACCTTCTACCTTTATTAGATTAGGAAACAGAAGCGGTATCATAATTGACTTGCACCACAGCAGAAAGGGACCTTGGGGTAGTGATCAACTATCACATGAACATGAGCCGGCAGTGAGATGTTGTGGCCAGCAGGGCAAACATCATTCTGGCATGCATTAACCATTGCATCTCATGAAAAACTAAGGATGTGATGCTCCTACTGTACTCAGCAGTATTGAGACCGCAGCTGGAGTACTGTGTCCAGTTCTGGGCACCACACTTCAACAAGGATGTGAAAAACTTGAGTGTCCAGAGAAAAGCCACCCATAGGATCAGGGACTTGTCAGACAAGCCATACGAGGAGAGCCTGAAGGACTTGGGCCTCTTCAGCCTAGAGAAGAGCAGGATGAGAGGGGATTTGGTAGCAGCTTATCTCTGCATCAGGGGAGTACATCAATAACTCGGTGAACAGCTGTTCACCAGGGAACCCCTGGGAAAGACCAGGAGCAATGGATACAAACTCCTGGAAGGCCATTTCAGGCTCAAATCCTGGGCAAATTCCTTCACAGTCAGGGTGTCCAGACTGTGGAATAAGCTCCCTTCAGTGATGGTGCAGTCACCCACCCTGGAAATCTTCAAAAGGAGACTGGACAGTCACCTCTCTGGGGTCACTTGACCCCAGTTGTCTTTTCCTGCCTAGTGCAGAGGGTCTGGACCCGATGAGCTACAAGGTCCCTTCCACCCCTAACAATCTATGAAAAACATATATTTGTCTTATCCCTGCTTACTAGCATAGCCCAACTAATAAGCAGCATATACCTCATGCACAGAAAACCAAATGGGATCCACTCATAGTTTTAAAAAATCACCAAAAATGTGTAAATAATTTCAAGAGATGGTTTAAATAATGTTTCTCAGTGAACAAGTGAAAG